ATGTGCGGTGCAGACAGCTTTCACTATTTCAACCGAGTGCCTAGGCGAACACAGAAGCAGCCACATAAGACAATCAGGAAAAGACTCCGAGTTGTACAGGCTAAGGAGGAAGGACATAGTGCAGCGAGCTATCTAGTCCAGGCTATTCCTCTGAGAAATGCAGTCGGTGGAAATGTAGGTCAGTTATTCCCGCCATTGATTTAGGTAACTAATGCAAGCATTACACTATTTTGCATATTTCTCTACTGCAACGCTAGTCATCCGCAGCAGAAACAACGCCCCAAACTCAAAAGAAGTCTCGTTGTATTGTTAACACAGACATCAAGTCCATTAGGAAAGGCCAGCTGTGCCATCCGCCAGTTCATAATCGAGCCGGAGTTCATCAAAGCACAACCGAGAATCTCTCAGAAGTACTTGGTTCCTTTTCAGTAGTTATTAAATGAAAACACAGTGCAGTGGTGATTACCATCAGCACAGCCTTGGCACTGGCACTGCTGTCCCTCGGGTGGCACATGCACGACATGGCCTGCAAGCCGCATATATCCCTAAAAGAAAGCTGCATAGGATGCACTTACCGTGGCTAGCGTCGCCACCCAGCGAGCTTGCACAAACCCTCTGCATGGCACGCAGTGCTGTTCAGAACAGAGCGGCACTGGCTAGCCAGTTAATGCGAAGGCTTGTAGTGTCTTGCTGCTGCCTTGGCAAAGCTGCAAGTCACCTCTTTCACGCCTTGTGGTGCCCATCAGCTTCAAAAGAAACGGTGTTGAATCGCGACCAGCAATAACCTGTCGCACAAGGGAGAAAAGGGTGTGAATGTGCAGACTCCTATCTGTTTGCTTTTGTCTACCGTGCGAGTTTTGTTTGAGAAGAAAACAACAATGACACTTCTTTCACAGTAATATGCAAAACGAAAACGAGAACGGCTCGGTTAGAGAAATCCATAATATATATACAGGGTACGATCGCAGGAAACCTCGCAGGGGTGCAGGAAGCTGCAAGTGCACGGTGCACCAGAATGTGAAACTAGAGGTGGTGATAGAATTTCACAGTTTGGGAATATGACGTTACTTGGGTCAAAATATAGAAACGAAAAACGTAACTGCCTTACCGGCTGATGATAAGGGCCATCGGAGCACGACCAACTATTTGTTGTGATCGGGGCATTCGATTGGACGCGGGTAGGTAAAGATTTGAAAAACACGAAAGAATAAAACATGTAGGGACGGAGACAGACAACGCAGTTCTTTGTTGACATGAAATGTAAGATCAAGCACATTATTCTGTCGGATCAAATGGTTTTGTTGAATTTAGGTTTAGCTCGCAAGTCAGCCGTTCTTCGGCGGGCTTTCAGCTTTCTGCGATGGTTGTTTTAATCGTGAACGCAGGCTCAAACAATGTAGGCAGCGGCGCCAAATAGATCTGAAACGAAGAAACAGCTCGGACGCGTGGAACGAACACACATAGAGATCAGATCACACGAAAACTCAAACCACTCACCTTTCGTTCGACGACGGTTCGTAAGGCACGATCGGCACGATGTTTCCGATGTTTCTCCGGGCGTTGAGGAGACGTGGAGGATAGAGTTCCTGTATAGGCTCCCTACGGGAGCCAGAGTTGCGCATTTGTTTTCCCCGCGCCGCCACGCAGCTATTCGCCGAGATCCATCACGTGAGGAGCAAAGCATCCGGTGGCGTGCAAGAAAGCCACCTTTACGGTCGCTCCGCCGACGTTTCTCTTGCCCCAGCGTATGTTTCCCTGCTTTCCGCCTCCTTTTCCTCCTCTCCTGTTTTCCATGCGCGGCGCCGCTATTCGCCAAATTTAGTCACGTGAGGAGCAAAGCATCCAGCTCGTGCGGGAAAGCCGGCGCTACGGCCACGCGCCGAGGCTGAATGCGCAACTCTGCTACCGAAGGTAGCATATACAGGAACTCTAGTGGAGGAGACCGCGTCTGTTTCCGTGCTCCTATTGGTCGTGACGTCACCAAATTTCATCCAATAAAGTGCGCGCCGAAGTTCTCTCTAGTCGCCGGTCAAAAAACGAGTGACCATCGGATTTGGATGTCTTTGGCTAGTCTTGATGCTTGAATATATAAATGCGTGGCGGCTGTTCCTTGTAAATTTGGCGGTGACTTGCGCCACCTATACTTCGTTTCAGCTTCGGTCCGAGCGCAGCCGATGTTATCAGCCGAAGGAGGCACAACGTCATGGCGTGCTCTCTGCAGTTGATAGGACCAGCCGGTATTTGCCGTCTCTCTGTGCGTGCTCCTCCGCCGGCTAGCCTTATCACGCGCATGGAGCACGCCATGACGCTGCGCTTTTTGCGCTGTTTGATTGGCCCTTCGGCTCATAACATCGGCCGCGCTCGGACCGAAACTGAAACGAAGTATAGTCACATGAACTTTCATAAATTGAACACTTTATTTTATTTTATTATGGAACCAGAGGCACTCTGGTTCCATAATGGAACCAGAAGTCCGAATCTTCGCGTCGAAGAACCTGGCCGGCATCACTCCTAAACTTTAAAAAATGAAGGTGAGAATGATGCACTTCTCCTATGTGATGGAACACATCCCAGGAAAGGCGATGATCGCAGCTGACACATTGTCTCGACAGCCACTGAAAGAAACATGAGACGAAGACCTAGAACAAGAAGTGGCTGCATACGTCAAGAGGGTGACTGCTGATCTTCCAGCGACTGAAAAGAGATTATACAAGAGATCAGAGAAAAACAGGCCGAGGACACCACATGTAACCAGTTGGTATGGTACAGCAAAGAGGGCTGGCCCAATCGGAAAGGAGCCCTTACGAACTGTAAAGGGTACTGCCAACACCGGTCAGAGATTGCAGTTCAAGATGGACTACTCATGAGAGGATCAAGGTTAGTTATCCTAAGTTTCATGCGCTCCGATATCCCACAAAGGATCCAAGGACACCAAGGAATAACCAAATGCAGAGCTTGAGCACGGCCAGGAATTTCAGTGGCCATCGAGAGCATGGTACGCAGGTGTCCTGAATGCATCAAGGAAACATCCAACCGTCATTAACCTTTGATGCCATCAAAGTTCCCGGAGCGTCCGTGGCAGAAAGTTGCAATGGATCTGTTCTACCGATCAGGAAAAAATTACCTTCTGGTGACGGATTATTACTCGAGATATCCAGAAATTGCACTTCTCACCAGCATGACTGCGATGTGTGTCATAACACACCTAAAGTCCATTTTTGCACGACATGGAACTCCTGAAGTTTTCTTCAGCGACAACGGACCACAATTTCAGAGAATTGTCGGAAGTGAGTTTTACCAGTTTTCCCAAAAATGGGGTTTCGAACATAAAACGTCCAGTCCAAGGTATCTGCAGAGAAACGGATTTGGTTTCGCGATGTAGTTGCAGTCCAAGACTGCAACTACATCGCGTTGCAGTCTTATCGTGCAACACCATAAGGCAATGGATGTAGTCCCGCCGAGTTGCTTATGGGCCGCAAGTTGAGAACGTCACTGCCAACGGTTTCTTCTAGTTTGGAACCGAGATTTGCGGATACCCAACGGCTGGAAAAATGAAAGAAGAGAAGAATAGATGGGACAGAAGGCCAACTATGACAGACGACGTGGTGTAGGACAGCGCAAACCACTGAGAAGAGGTGACGTTGTCTGGGTTACCGATCAACGAAAAAGAGGCGCTTAACTGAGAGTTCGAGATCGTACTTAGTGGACACCGACACAACTGCACTTCAAGGAAACAGCTTCCATCTCACGCCTATGCCACAGACTGAAGTCATGAAAGAAACTTCGGTACCTGACATCGGATCAGCTGCGTACACCTGTACATAGACTTAACTTTTGTGGGGATTGTGATCCCTCAACATTCTGTCGCGTCAGCGTTTTGGCGCGCCGTGGCGGCCGCGCTGGCGTAGCGAGAGGTGGCGCTGCTTACCACTGTGAGTGGCTTCCTCCTCTCCTCCTTTGGGGCGATTTCCGTAACGAACCCCCGCACAAAGGAGATCGACGTCTCGCTCCTTGATTGGCCACTTCGCCCCCGCCGTTATCTTAAAACCAGCGGACAGCAGTATTGCTGGTCTCTTCTTCCTGGGATTCGGCGGCGGCGACAACGGGGAACCGTCCGGCGCACCGGCGAGCGTTTACTCCGTCCTTTGTACCTTTGTGAACAACCGTTCGGCCGTGGGCGATCTCCACACCGACGGCGTTCACCAGCTTATAGCCGCTGTTTTGTTGTTATTTGTTTCTTTGTAAATAAACAGAGTTTATCCCCGTTAACAACGTGACTGCAGTGTCTGTTTGCGCTCAACGAGCAGCACGCCACGCGAGTGCGAACCCGCTTCGCGGTAGAGCGTCTCGCCGCGAACGTACGTGGTACTCCCAAAGGCAGTGGCCCAAAGGAGAACCACACTTTTAAAAGGCGGAGATGTGCTGTTGGGCCTTGATGGTAGAGGAGGAAGCCGAAGCTTTGTAAATAAACATGGCGTTCTGAAAAGAAGCTGCCGGGAGCTCTGAGTTAGGAACGACGAATAACACAGCTTGCTCCAAGCGCAACGTGCCATTAAAAAACAACCTAAAAAAAACTGGGCAAGACGACACATAAAGGCGGTCGTACTTGGGGCAATCCATTTGGTCTTTTGTTGGTATTCGGAGACTGCGTTTTGCTCGTGCCTTGTTCCCTATCCTGTGTTTGGTCGGTTGCCTCCATGCCTGCAATCGGTTCAGCTTTGTACTTGAATCTGACAATGCCTGGTTCCGTAGATTGTTCCGGCGACAAATATTTTCGAAGGTTGAAAAATGTATTCGAGATACTTAGTTCAAGATAGTGAGAAATGTAATTATGACAAAGTAGCAAATACTCTAGACGAAATGTATCTGCATGATACCGAAATGCTACCCAAAGTATTTGAAGTACAGTATCTTGAGTAGAGTATTTAACATAGGCAAAAGTCTGGTTTCTAGTCGGCATCGGCTGACGACAGGCAGAAAGAACAGGGGTCGAGCACCGCTTTATTCATAGATACGTTTCTATCCCATTTAGGGATCGTACAGTCGGTTGAGGGGCTAAAGTGCTGACAGCCAGTCGCGAAAGGCTTGGGGGCCCTTGGACTGGATATCCGGTCTGCCGTTCGCGGAAATCACCGTGGCGTCCGCCTTGCACACGACCAACGATGGAATGCCGGCAACTTTGAAGCGATCTTTGAGCAACCTGACCGAAAAAGAAAGACGGAAAAAAAATACTTTCAGCCTTTTCACTCTGGTGAAGGAAGACCAGCGGAGCTGTACAATGGGAAGTAATGGCCGGCCGGAAGTCGGCAAGCCAGAGTGCAGAGCCGTATATTGGGAGAGTTTGGCCAGTGGGTGTGGCGACGAAGGCGCCGGAGAGGAGAAAAGTAAATGAAAGGGAGGAGAGCGCCGAAGGAGCGAGAGAGAAAGAAGGAAGCAGAGAGGAGACGACCGCCATTTTTGAGCAACGCTGTCGGAGAAGAGCACTGCTGAGGCTACGCGTCGTCTGCTACGGGCCGACTTCTTTTTCGCTTGAATAAAAGTTTTTGGCCATACGCCGAAAAATCTTCATTTATTAGCTTCTTAACCCACTGAGGAGTAACAGAATGTCATTTTCTTGCCAGAGCCAGCGATATAAAAGGCAATAATCAAGATTTAGACGCCGATCCCACGCATTCCGCCGGGAGAATGATCGAAGATGGCGGCCCTCCCCACTCAGATGGGAGCAGCCGGGAGTTCACGCGCATGCGCTCATGCCTCTCGCTCTGCGCCGCGTGCTGATTGGCTCACTTGGTAGGAGAGCGTTACGGCGGCGAGATCATAGACTGACCAAACTCTCCCCATATACGGCTCTGCCAGAGTGGAAAGGCTGCCGCCATCTATGAGCGACGGCGGCAACCAGATACTTGGCTTCCCGGCGTCGCTCATAGATGGCGGCAGCTGTCCAGAGTATTGTGTCGACATTTCTTTGGATCGACTCTAGCATAAAGATAATGCCGGCTTTTTTTTTATCCTACAAATGAACCGAGGCGACCGCACAGCCGCTGCATACTCAGCCGCAGACAGACTGCACGCAATCCTTCTCCTCCACCATTCAGAACTAACAAAGGTGCAAAAATTACGTCACATAGTAATGTAGCAAAAAGTTATCAGATTAGCTCAGTTACGGAACTGCTCATAGACGCTGCTTGCACCGAACAGTGTAGCCGCTCTAAATCTCACGGAAGTGTCGCTCTCAACTTCTTCCCCAAGCTTTTACCATTTCCATATTTTGTTAAAACTTCACAATTTTTAAGTGCAAAAAAAAAAAAAAAAAAAAAAAAGAGGGAGGATTACTGTTAACTAGGGTCGTGCGAATATTCGAAATTTCGAATAGTAGTTCCGAATAATACACTATTCGATATTCGCTTCGAGAAGAACTGCACTATTCGCGTTTTTCAAAGTGTTGTTTGCGGCGGGTTAGCCCCGTTGAGTGCGCTTCTCACCAAGCACCAGTGCGCTGTGGAGAAGCAATACCCGCGGAAGCGAGCTCCGCGGGTGTTGCTTCTCCGCAGCGCACCGGTGCTTGGTAAGAAGCACACTCAATGGGGTAACCCGCCGCGATAAACACTTGGAATTATATTGACAATTATTGAATTATTATATTATTGAATTATTATAGTGACAATATTGAATTATATTGACAATTATATTTGTGTCATCTGTTAACAGTGTTAACAGATGAGACAAATATAATTGTCAAATTAACACCCCCAAACGAAGGGGCGAGTCCTTCAGTTATAAAAAAGCATTCTCTGGAGGAGCATAAAAAAAAGAGAAAAAAAAAAAAAAAAAAAAAAAAAAAAACAGGGAAAAGGGGGGGGGGGGGGGGGAGTTAAAACATGCTTTGTTGTAAAAGTTCCTCTGCTCCGCATCTTCGGCACAAACAAGGAAGCGTGGTCCCGGACACTACTTTGTTGGCAGAAACACTGCTGCCAGAAAGAGCATTTTCGGGGTGCCAGTTGCTCGCGCCGTTCATCACGACGCCGCACCAAGCAAGAATAATTTGTTTCTTTCAAATGCATTGATGCACTGAGCGTGAACCTTCAGCAGCTTGCATTTCGCACCACCAGATTTGATTTTCTCAGCAAGAACAAATCGCATTGACCGCCAGCATATAGTGCAGTGACGTTACGTGCAAACCATGTTAAATAGTTCAGTCTTCTGGTGAAACGCGTTGTTCTTAACACTAGCAAAAGTGGATGTCCCAATTGTAAAGTTCTGCAGCATGCAGCAGTGTCGCGATGATATGCGGCAGCCTAATGAAATGTTATAGCGCGTATGACTCTTAAATCAGACTTGTAAAGTGAGGGCCCTAAACAAGTGCACGTAAAACCGAATATAACATTAGCCTCCCGAGACAGTATTTTGCGAAGCTTCGAGCTTCTGCAAGCCGATGTCTAAATGGGATAATACTATAAATATGTTGTCTGTCCTTCGCGTTATTTATGTGTAATCAGGAATATCATTGCATTCAACTCTATGTATTTCATATCTGCACTGAGAAGTTGTGTATGGGATTATTTTAAAGAATACCATTTATTATTTCGCTTTCTGCATATTTCGTTTATTTGCCTTCAGATCTGTTATGTGAGCACACGGTTCTTTTTGGCACACTTCGCGACCCGGCGTTCACACGGCGAAACAGCGGGGGAAAAAATCCATGTTACTGCTGGCGTATTTTCGAGTGTCGTCCTCCATATAGTCAAATTTATATATGATAATAAAAACATATTTAATTAATGACCGAAGGTTTGTAAGCATAAAATAAAGGGCCGACCACCTTAAATACATACATCATAAGTAGGTGCACCCAAAATTATATCAAATATGCTCTGCAAATCTTCATTAAGCAAATTTATGATTTTGAAGCTGATTTAAGTAACTATGTCTTTCTGGACACATGTCTAACTTCTCAAACTTATAAAGGACCAAGTTTTTATCCTCTATAGATGTGTGTAAGTGATTTTGGGCGAGCATTAAGCAAATTTATGATTTTGAAGCCGATTTTAGTAACTAAGTGTTTCTGTGTTTCTGACACATATTTAACTTCTCAAACATATTTAACTTCTCAAACAAGTAAATGACTGTTATTACCTCTTTTATGAGATGAACACCAATTTTATGTGTCTGTGGGTTGGACAAAAAGAAAGTACACAGGAATGCTTGGCGGAACTATGACGATTGCGCACGCAGACCGTCTAAAAGTGTCCAACTAAATAGCTGGAGTGTCGAGTAGAGCCTAAAATGCTACTTTGCTCTATTTAACAAAAAATCCCCTATTATCAGGGGCGATGCTTATTTGTAAATTGTATTGACCGGCTTCTTGTCCAGAACAATCCTCAAACGCCAAGCTACGCCTAAAATATTCAATTGGGTACGCGCTACATTAGGGTAGATTCGATCTAGGTACTTAGTACTAAGGTCCGTATATTCGCAACTATCACGACCCATAGGGGGCGCACTGGTTCCTATCAAAATGGCTGTCATCTGGATGATCGTCGTAGAACAGCAGTACGAGGCGGGGTCTGCGACGCGTAAGGAATTCTAGTCTTGCTTTATACGAGCAACATTAAAGCCTTACTTTTTGTAGCGTAAGCTACACTGGCCGAGGTTGAGCAGTTTCGCGTGGCTCCCAAAGAGCCGTGCTGCGCATGCGCGAGGAGCAGTGACGTCACACTGCCAACAGCCGGGACGCCGGAGCCGCCGCCGCCGCCGCGCGCACCTCGCCGGTCTGCGCATTCCAGAGGAGTGACGTCACAGCCGCGGCAGACGCACTGGCGCCGCCGCGTGCCCAGCTGTGCGCCTCCGTTGCGCCGTAGCCAAGTCTGACGCTGCACGGGAGCCGCTTGATAGCGCCTCTCATTTTGTGCACACAAGCTCACGCTACGTATATCCTGGCATAGCCGAGCTAAGCCACCGCAATGTTTTTTAAATGCCAGGAAGGTGTAGGCAAGCCGATCATTCAGGAGCTAGGCAGAGCGATTCTCATCCCGCGGTATACCACCATCGCTGAAAGTTGCGAATATTAGAGTGAACAATTTTGACCTCTCTTTTGTGCAAGCTTATTCACCTGCACAACGCTGCTCCATGTAAACAATATTGGTCAGGAAAAAAAGCGTTGTGGTTGCCGCTCAGGTTTTTTTTATGAAAGTCAAACTGAAAGGGCTTGTCCTAAAACTTTATTGATATTTTAATAATATTATTGCTTGTAGCTGAGTTCTGTCGTCTTCATTTGTTTTGCGAAACATATTTTGTAAACCATATTTCGGGATATATATGATGACGAGGTGCCCATTTTATTATTCTATGCACTGCAATTAATTCCTAAATTCAAAAGCACAACTAGGATTCAACTATTAATATTGCGACGCAAAGTTGTACCAATCACGGATATTTTAGGCGAACTACCAGATTCATAACCTTTCAATTGGGGCAAAATAAACGCGACTCGCCATTTTGTATCTTAATCTAGTTTTTCTTTGACCTTACGTCGAAATTAAATAACGTATTTTTAATTTTTTTTTTTAAATTTTTGGTACCCGAAAAGAAAAGTGGATTGTGCGAATCATAAAACGCTAAATAGTTACTCGTTTCATGGTTGAAATAGTGACTGCCAAAAACAACGCGGAAAATATATTCTCAATTTAGCGGTTCAAACCGGTTCGGACCGGTTCGAACCGTTATTTTTGCTCTGCGGAATTGAACCGGAACTGAACCGAAAGCGGTGAACCCGAACCCGAAGAGAACCGATAAAAATTCCGGTTCGACACTCTGATTTTACGTACACTTGAAGAGAATCGCCGTAAGGGAGGCATAGCCATTCCCCGTGATGTGATTTCATGTAGTTCATCATGTCAGTGGAACTTCGATCTGATGAGACGAATACGACCTGCGTTACAGAAGACGGCCTTTGTTAGAACAAGTGCATTGCAAAACAGTGATGGACTGGTTTCGATATACATAGGACGAATATCGTGAAGTACTCTTGGGCGTCGTAATTCTTTTCCCTGCCATTGGTACTGTGCGCCGTAACAACCATAGCAATCTTGAGATCTCCAGATCTCAAGATTTACTTCTCTAATATTGTGCGCGGCTTCCGGCTTGGTAGGATATCTTGTTTTACGCCTTTATGAATTATGAATCCACAGGACAACCCCCGCTTCTCAGGATCCCGTGACATTTACGCTCTGATGTACGTACTTCGTTCCCTTCATGATGATCTGACTGCGGACCATTTGGGTCTGCTTCGGACATACAACCGCGCCCGCTCTCGTTTTTTTTTTTTTTTTCTGGTTTGGCTTATACAAGAGAGTTCACAGATACTTCACATCATGTGAAGCTTGGCAGCGCCGAAGAACATCCTCGCTCCTCTAGGCTCTCTGCATCCCATGCAGCCCCCTAGCCACCCATTTGAGAGTGTTGGAATTGATCTAGTTTTTTTTTTTCTTGAGTCAACACACACAAAACGATGGATAATCGTCATCGTCGACCATTTGTCGCGATACGTAGAAACCCAGGCTCTCACGGCACCAAATGCAGAAGAGGCGGCCTCGTTTTCTCTCCACAATAATGTTCTGCGACACGGGTCCCCCAGAAAACTTGTGAGCGACCGAGGGCGCGTCTTTTTATCTACGGTCACCCAGCACCTCCTTCGGTATTGTCGCACAATCCATCGCATCACAACCGCCTACCACCCTCAATTAAATGGAATGAGTGAACGCTTTAATCGAACCCACGCCTCGATGCTAGCAATGTACATTTCTAATAATTAAGACAACTGGGATCAGGTTTTGCCATTTGTTACTTATGCTTACAACACCGCCATCAATGAAACTACGCACTTTTCCCCATTTTATTTAGTCTACGGTCGGGATGTAGTAACGCCCCTAGACCCGATCCTTCCAAGCGTTTCCGAACCATCATCTGACTACTTACAAGCAGTAGCGTCACAAGGGTGGGGGGGGGGGGGGGGGGGGGGGGGGGGGGGGCGGGGGGCGGACCGCCCCGGGTGCAGCGCTCAGGTGCCGCTGGCCCTCGTGACGCCACTGCGTACAAGACGTTCTGCACAGGGCGGAAGAGTCCCGCCAACTCGCTCAGCACCGCACACTTGCTTCTAGGCAGACAAAGATCATCCTTTATAACGACAAGCACAGACAAGTTAACTACTGTGTCAGCGACCTTGTTTTAGTCTGGTCACCCGCTCGCGTTGTTGGACGTTCAGAAAAACTTCTTTCCGGTATTTTGGACCATACAGAATCACACGGCAGACATATGACGTCAACTACGAAATAGAACGTGTGACGCCTATTCGAGACGGTCGTTCACGGAATAAGGATATCGTCCATCTGTCTCGAATGAGACCATACACCATGCGTTCCGATCACGGCAACTATCTTCAACCCGTACCTTCGTCTTCTCCGCATTAGGGGAATAATGTTACGGTTAGACCGCATTCACATAATTTGGTTCTACAAAGAACGACGAAGTAGCCGCGGGGCTAATAAGAAAGAGGAAATTGGTCGTAAATAAAATACCGAACTGACAAGACCTGGTTGCCGTGTCTTCTAAGTCCTTTCACACCCTATTAATATATATATATATATATTTATTGTCCCTCCCCCCCCCCCCCCCCCCCCCCCCCCCGCATTAAATTTGGACATCTCCCCTAATTTTGAGTTCCTGGGGAAGCCCCTGGTCTGCATTAGCAGTCTGACCGCGGCGTAAGACACGAACCACTCGCCTCTATGGGCTGGTTGCCCTCTCGCGCCTCGGTGTAGGCGTCTGCCAGGACGGGCGTGAACATGCGGCAAGGGGGACACCAGGCGGCGGCGAAGTAGATGCAGATGATCTTCTTGCCCTTCAGCGCCAGATCAGCCGGGATGGTGGTCCCGTCTTTCTTCAGCAACACCTTGCCCTTGAACAACTCCGCCATGTGGACTATGCACTCGATGGCCTGGGTCGGAATCCCAGAGGTCACCGTTAAAGCCATAGTTGCACTGATAATCTACAAAAGACAGCCTGCAGACGCTTTCTGAAGCATGTTTCTTCGCTGTACGACTGTCTTGTGACGTCGGTCATACAAAAACGATTTGCACACGTGTTCGAAAAACTCATGTGTGTGAAGCCTTCGAACATCTGCTTGAGGCCTGTATGCAGACAATTTGATGATCATAAGTGCAGCTAACATTGTGAAGCAAGTTTTTCTGCACAGCCGTTGTGCAACCGTTTTTTTTTGTACGTTACTCATCGTTACCTACGAATGCAAACGAGACACGCGCCATCATATGCATTCTCAAGATGGCATCTGCCAGAAGCGCTTTAGTTAAATGGTCAATATCTTCCGGAAACATCTGGGTGTTACCTCGAAGGCAAAGATACATTCGAATGAAGTTTACCCACCGTTTAAATTAATTTCACATGCACGAATGTCATATGCATGTCCACAGGGCACCATTGAACGGGAAGACATTTTTAAGGCCGTCCGCAGGATCATGTGTGCAGCCGGGGAACGTTCATATGAGTGACTTCGGATGGCGTTACTGGGTGGTTCGTTTCTCGTCTCGATTATAGTCTGCAATTTGATTTTGGTTTCTGGCTTGTTAATTAAAACGCAAATAATATGTTTTCGTTGTTTGAACCCTGGTAATTGGCGTTCCTGACCTCCCCTTTCGCTTTGGTAGCACCTTCTGGCCTGGTGGTGCACTGCAAGGAAAGGCCACGATGCGTATTAATTTTTAAGTTTTTTTTTATGCGGGCTCAAGTATCTTTAGGTTAGCCTATTAATATTAATAGTAGTTATAGCCGTGTCAATTCGACTTGGAGTTCCGCGGTATACAGTAAAGGTGAATGACTCATAGTCTACAGAAGTCAATTATTGCATGCAAAATAAAGAGTGAGGGGGAGAAAGAAAGCCTAGAGATGAGAAAAAGACGTTAGCCCAGACCATTTATGATAACTTATAGACGCTTTCAGGCAGTTGCGCATGGGCGCCGCCATAACCGACCTTCAGTTTTTGTTTCCTTTTAATCCACTTGCTTCCCTTCATCATTACCATAGCAGGACAAGTTATTTCCACTTTAGGTGCCACTGTGTCCTTCTGCCCAGCATAAACTGTTGTGGAGGCTTCTCAACGCCCGCTCCTGCGGCTCGGCATCTCGGTAAGACAAAAGAAGGTCTGTAATGGCCGCTCAATCTGGCGCGTGTTTAAAGTGTCCATACATTGCTTGCACTGACATCAGTTGCCATTGTCTTGCTGCTGTGCTCGTCACTTCTGCACTATCTCTATTTCGTACTACCGGATCTGTTCTCCTTGGCAGGAACAAGTGTGAATGACAATCAGCGTCGAGCGATGACCGAAATGGGCAAGCCATATACAGAAGGAGGACATGGCTGTACAGGGAGGAACCCGTGTCTTGTAATCCTGCGCCGCTGCTTCAAATAAAGGAGTCAATTGCTCATATATTTACACAGCTTCAAGGTGCAGCGCGCAGGCTACGAAGGTTTATATAGTTAGTGGGCATGTACGGATGACATCGCGAGTTTGAGGTGGGATCACGATGTCGGAAAGCGAATTCTGGAGGGCCCTACTCAGGAAATATTCAGGAGCTCACCGAAGCGGGCCCCAAGGCGCGACAGAATCGCGCGCAGCTCACGGATCTTCTCCGACGTCCTGGCAAGCGTTCTCCCGGTGGCAGCGGGAGCCACCAGCCAGCTTTGTCCTCATCCTCATCGTTGTCTTTCTAGAATTTGGGAAAGCAAATTTTATCTGCGTTAAAATTTGTGGCTGAAAAAAATAATTAATTGATGTTTTTGCGGGAAAGGGAGGAGGAATTTCTAACGTGCCTTCATGTGCGATAAAGAAGAGCCGCTAAATGAGCTACTCTGTTCCCCGATATTTTTGTGGATGCCACCATCTTTGTGCTTAGTACAGAACAGACGCAACTGCCGATCGTTATGATTCAAAAGGGCGACTTCCTCAGCATTAGATTCGGTGTTAGGGAGCTCATTTAAAATTGCTTTTCTCTGTCGCGGACTGTTTAAACTTTTGTGGAGGATGGAAAAGCGTTTCCTGGGTTTTCAAATAAAGCTTCCGATGACTGGCAACCATGATTTGAAGCGCCAAGACGGTTAAGTCTCGTTAATGTGAAACGTAACCTATTTAGTGGCTCTACGCTAAACAAAAGGGCTTGATGCACCCAAGCAATGCCACCTGTAAATTCTAGTATTCTCTATGCCTGTCGGACGAAGGAAAACACAATGAGGGCCACCGTCCAAGAAGTTGCGCACCGTCGCCGTTGTTTGAGTGGGGGCGCCACCTTCGTTGGGGTAGGATAGAGAGCCTAGATTGAAGAGAGGGGCCATCTGAAATCACGGAGAGCGTTTGCAATTTAATGGCGGACACCTTTTGCGGCGATCGGTCGCAAGTGCGCATGCGCTGCGTTGTCGCGCGGTGAGGTGGAAAGCAGGAGAAAAGGTCGATACGCTTGCAGACGATCAACGCTTTCGTCACCTCCTCGCTGCCCATAAACCACGTGACCATGGTCAAGCAGTTGGAAATTCTGTGTAATAAGGCTCTCAGGAGACTAAAGCGTGTTTCACATGCAGCGATTTTGGCCCTAGAGCGGCGCGATTTCTGCCGCAGCAGCGCTCGTGTCGCTCAACCGCTGCGGCTAGCCAGATCGCCTCGACGGCAGAAATCGCGCCGCTCTAGGGCCAAAACCGCTGCATGTGAAACACGCTTAACGCCGGGGCTCTGCCCGCGACGTATCGTCTGCTTGTGCCCTAGAGAGCCTGTATTGCAGAAGATCCTAACTGCTCGATCGGAAGTCACGTGGTTTATTAGCCGCATTTTCAATACGAGGTGCGAGGAGGTGACGAATATGTGGATCGTCTGCAAACGTCTCCGCCTTTCCTCCTCGCCACGCGAAAGCACTGCGCATGCGTACTTGTGACCGATCTCCGGAGGAGGCGTCCGCCATTAAATTGCAAACACTCCCCATGGTTGGAGATGGACCATCTGTTCGATAGGCGTTTTGTAGCCGGTGATGATGATGATGATGATGATACTGCGGCTACTCCCTTCATAACGGGCGGGTTTGATTAATCGTGCCCAAGCCTGGGGACGACGCTCGTGGCCGGGCGTTGGCAAAATGCTTTGAAGAGTACGACCTCGCTGTTGCTAACGACGGGAGTCCGACCTTTTTTCGTCCTCCTGATACGTATAGCGCCATCGACATCACGGCTCATTCCACAGACCTATGCATAAATTGGACGAGAAACCCCGATACCATGAACAGCGACCATTATCCGATATTTTTAGATCTGCATGGATTCCGTGGAACTAAACAGCGCATTCGATATGTTACTCATTAGGATTCATTTCGAGCACATATGGAAAACTCATCAAAACCCATATTACAAGCAGTCCTGACCAGCGCAAATCAGGCCACCATCAAGATAAAGCTCCCAGAGCACTACCCAGAGCCTGATCTCACGTTGCTCAATCTTTGTGCAGCAAGAAGACAGGCCCAACTAAAACTCCAAAGGAAGTATTCTAGCGCAAACAAAACCGATCTAAACAGAATCAATGCAGCAACAACACGATATGCGAAGAAAACAAAGCATAAACACTGGGACGACAACTGTGCATCAGCAGATGCAAAGATGCAAATAAACCTGGAACCCAAATTTGGCGAATCCTTGATGTTTTCATGGGCAAACGAGATCTCCACCTATCACACGCATCGATGGCGTTTCGTTTGGGCACAAGTCTAGAGGGGGCCGCAGAACAATTTGCAGACCAATTTTCTTTAACTGATAACAAGACAGTCAGGACGTATGACGCTGTGACTACATCGTCTCCATTAGATGCTCCTTTCAACATCGAAGAACTACTATCGGCTTTAAAAGAGAGTAAAAGAAAAAGCGCTCCAGGACTGGATGGAATAACAAACCAGATGTTGCAAAACATACCAAATGGACGCCTACAAGAACTTCTCAAGTTTTTTTTAACTATATATGGGGAACAAATGATATACCAGAAAATCGGAAAACAGCTTGGGTTATTCCAGTCCACAAGCCTGGTAAACCACTCGACGCGCCATCGTCCTACCGACCCATCTCACTTACATCTTGTGTTATGAAGCTCATGGAAAGAATGATACACGCTCGACTCACCTGGTGGCTTGAAACCAATCACTTATTTCCACACGAGATGACAGGATTCAGGCGTGGGCTATCCTCTCAAGACAGCATCGTAGATCTATTAAGTTCAATTGAACAGAATCACCACGACGACAAATCGACATTAGCGGTATTTTTTGACATTAAAAAGGCATATGATAACGTTGATCCAGCAGTTGTTCTTGAAAAGTTGACAGCCATTGGCATCACGGGAAAAGTTCAGGCGTTTGTACAAGGCATCCTCACAAATCGAACGTTCAAGGTTAGACTAGGCGCGTCGTTTAGTACATCTCGCAACATGTGCTCAAGGACTACCACAAGGAAGCGTACTCTCGCCAATACTTTTTAACATCGTTTTGGCCAGGTTACCAACATCCCTCTCAAAGTACACTCTCCCCATCAATATATCACTGTACGCAGATGACATTTGCATATGGGTCTCAGCACATCGACATCATGATCTTCGAAACGCCGCCCAAGCAGCCATTACGGGAGCGAGCAATTATCTACTTGATTGTGGTCTGCAGTTCTCACACGAGAAATCTGCGTTCATACGTTTTCCTGGAAAAAAACCGGCGAAGCACGGAAATTACTTTGACTATTTATAACGTACCCCTGCGCCGTGTTCGACAGCACATATTCTTGGGAATCAAACTGAACTCCCGCCTCAACTGGCATGCGCAAGCCACTAACGTAATAAAATCAACGCTGACAGCTAGGAATGCCATTCGTAGAGTGGCAGGACAATCATAGGGAAACTCGCCAAGCTCTATGATACGTCTCCATTCATCCCTTGTTGTCAGTCGT